AACACAATTTTTCTCCTCTGGGTTTGGTGCCTTGGAGAAAACTCCTCCCCGGGGTTCCAAAGGTTCTGTTCAAAGGATTTAACCTTTCCTCCCACTTACAGTGACAGTCACTCTTGGAAAAGCAAATTTATAAATTGTCCAGTGGATTTTAAACACGGTTTTGCTGGAAAGAGAAAGGAAGTTTTAGGGAGTCAGAGCCTGCAGGTCTTTGGTGTAATTTTAAAACTAATCCTGAAGCAGCTTTGCTGAATCTCTGTAATGTGGTGCTTTGAATAGATGGGAAGTTTTGGTTTAATTATTGCAAAAACCAGCTTTAGAATTTTTAATGTGGATAGAAATTGTAGCTTTGAGTTAAAGACAATAAATCCTCATCTGTTTGACTACAAATCCCAGGTGACAGTTCTGAGAACGGGCTCCAACGGTGGTTTCTCAGTGAATCAGAATTCTGAATGATGTTTATATTTTAGTGTTGGAATTCAAGTCGTGTTTTTGACTGAAATGTTTTAATTTTCGTTAATTTAGGCTGCACCAAAGGCTGGTGCAATTGTTTGGAGGTTTGTTCTCAGTTACAACTCCTTGTGGAACATTCAGTTTTAGCAGAGAATCAGAAGGAATTAAACCAAAAATTGAATGTTAAGAGTTCCTAAAACTTCTTCTCAGTTACACTTAGGTGTAATTAAATTAAATAAAACTGAGTTTTAAGACTTTTAGATCTAAGTTATGTCCACACTTGGATATCAGGTGACATATCTGGGGAGATTAAATGGTTTAATTTTACCAAAAGAGCACAAGTAACCAACACTGTCCTGCTGAAATGGGATTTCAAGGATTTCATTCCCAGCACTGCGGATTCAGGATTTTCTAAATGTTCCTCTGCTTCATTTTGCTCCTTATTTAAATCTAGGCACAATTTTTTTTTCAGTATTAAAGACTCTAGAAAAATTGCAGAATTTTAGAAGCCCCGGTCCTCACATTGAGAATCTTGCAGTTCTTTAAAACAGCTGTAATGAAGTTAATTTTGTGCATTTTTAATTTAATTAATTTAAGTCATAGCCATGCTCAGAAAAGGGAAAAAAAAATAATTCTTTAGTGAAAAAAATTTTGAAATTCAGTGTCCATGCAGCAGGAGCTGTTGAAGCCTCTGAACTTGGGTTTCATGGCTTTGTTCTGTGTTTAAAGCTAATTTAGCACCGACTTTGTTGGGTTTTCAGGCAGAGCCCGAGTCATTTGAACACCCTCCTGTTAATCATTCACCCCTCGCCATTTAAATATTCCTCATTTCAGAACCAGGCACAACTTAAAAGTGAACCATTACCTTGCTGGAGCTCTTGGAGGAAGGCAAAGAAACCTCAGAGCGTCCCAAGGGTGACTCGGCCCCGGCCCCGACTCACCGGGAGAGGTTTTTCCCGGGAACGGTCGGCGCCGAAGGGCCGGGGCTGGATCCTGGAAATCCTCTGGATTTGTGGAAAACGTGTCAGGGACGGGCTGGAGTCTCTGGGGTTGTTTTTTTTCCCCCCCCCTGAAATTTCAGCAGCCCCGGGCACAGAATTTCCTCCCCCCGTTTGTCTCATCCCGGGGGTGAATCATGAGGGAAGTGGCCTTTTTCTGGGAAATCTGCTTCAAAAAGGCGTTTGCCCCCGGCCATGAAGGAAATCCATTGAGAGCAGCAGAATGAGGCACTTTGTTTCTTCACTCGGGGCCTTTTCTGAAATTCCTAAAATTAGAAAGTGTTCTTTTTTAATTGGGCTCTGGCCTGGAAAAGGGAATATCGTGTCAAATGAGGAGGAGAATAATTGGAGGAACGCAGGGAGATGGTCACTTGTAAAACCTGTTGTTGGATGTGTCCTGGTGTGTGGAGTTGTTTTACTGAACCCTCCCTGTGGTGTGAAGAGTTAAAAGTGAAGCGTTGAAAATTAGGTGAGTTTTCAGTGTAGGAGATCACATTGGTCTCTTTAAATTTAAAAAATTTAACCCCAGTTAAATATAAAAAAGAAAATAAATTAAAATCTCCGTTCTCTTTGAAACTCAAGTGGTGTTTGTCAGTGGTGGGAGTTAGGAGTGGTGGTGGATGTTTGTGGATCCAGCCCTGGGAGCCTTTGGATTGTGTGTTCACACCGTGCTGGTGCTGGTGACAATTTATTCCGGGTAATATTTGAATTGTGGGGTTTAATATTTGAGTTTTGGGGTTTTATTTAAGGGTTGTGACCATTACTGAAGGGGTTTGGATCTTGTGCTAAATAGCAGAGTGGGTGGATTTAAGGCAGAGCTGCCCGGGTGGGTTTGGTGGAAGCCTGGCCAGGGGGATTTGAGGGGAGATCAGAGGCTGCCCAAGTTCTAGGGTTGAATAGTTGAGTTTTGGGGTTTTATTGAAGGGTTGTGACCATTATTGAAGGGTTTGGGATCTCTATTTGCTAAATAGCAGGGTGGGTGGATTTAAGGCAAAGCTGCCTGGGTGGGTTTGGTGGCAGCCCGGCCAGGGGGATTTGGGTGGAGGGCAGAGGCTGCCCGGCGGTACCACCCTCCCCCCGAGAGGGCTCTGAGCTCCCAGACGTGACCCCACAGCAGGAACAAGGTGTTCAGCAGGTCCCTCGGAGCCCGCCCTGTGCCACCCAGGCTGGCACGATGCAGGGCAGGGCTCCGAGCGCCTCTTTGTTCCTTTGTTAATCCCTGCCCGGGGGAGGTGCCGCAGGATTTGCTCACGCGTTCCTTTTGGGAAGGGATGACGCACAGATTGTCCTAATAAGGACTTTGTTGGAGAAAGGGGCCGTCTCCTCGCAGGAGAAGGGGCAAGTCATAGGGCGAGCAGCCTCTTTTTTAACCGGGGGATGACACAAGCACAAGTCATTTCCTTATTAATCGGTTCAAACCAGTTCTTACAGGAACTGCTGCTGATAAATGTGGGACTTCTCCGAAGTCATTCATTTGCCTCCCAGCACTGCCCCAGTGCTCAGCTCCTTCTCCTGCCTCCAGGACATGCTCCAGCTCCCAGCTCCTGCCCCCCTGCCCGGCGCTCTGCTGCTCACAGAGATTTTCCTTTTTGAGCACTTTTGGAGGATCTGGGGAAAGATCAAAAGATGAATATTTTGCTTTATTTCGTGGGGTTTCTGTTTTCTCAAGTGTCTCAGGAGTTCCCTCCTGAGCTGTAGCTCAGCCTGAACTTTGCTCTCATTAGGTAAAGTGGTAAGTTATTTAAAAAAAAAAAAAAGAAAAAAGCCAATGGGTTTTTTTGGTTTGTTTTTTTTTTTTTCTCCCCTATTTTGTCTCGTTCTCTGGGATGAACTTTCCATCAGTGCTATTCCAAGTATAGGTCCTTCTCTTCAGAAGCCATTTCAAGAATATCTGGAAGCTCAGAGGATAAAACTTCACCACAAGTCGGACGGTGGCGTTCCACAGGTAAGACCCTCCCCCAGCTCAGCCTTTCTCGGGCTCTTCACGTGTCTGTTTTACCAAGATCTGCACTGACCCGAGCAATATAGATAAAAATCTCACTTCAAAATCAACCTGGGAATTAAAAACTACCCTGTAATCGTGTGAAATTGGGTTTTAAAATTCCCCCGTAATTGTGTGAAGCTGGATTTTAAACTTAACTGTTTCAAACTTACTCTGTAGTTGTACAAAAATTGGATTTAAATTCTTTAGACAATAAGACAAAAAATAGAGCAAGACTAGTGGCAGTTCTTGCCTCTCTGCATTAGCTGCCTGCTTGGAAGGTTAAATTTAAGGAGGAAAAAGTTGCATTTCCATGTGAAGGGGTAACAGACTGTGCAGCATCGATGCTTCAGGAGCCAGGAGGGTCTGTGGCTTAGTGGACAGTAAGAGAAATAAAATCCCCAAGCCTTCAGTGTTTGAAAGGAAAAGAAAACTACGGTGTTTAGAGCAGCTACAAGGGGCAGAAATTCCCTTTCATACCCCAAAAAAAAGAAATTAAAAAAAAAAAGTATTTTAAAAAACTTACCCTGAATTTGCAACGGGACAGAGCGACGTGAAATCCTTGAGGATGCTGAGGCATTTTAGATAAAATCCGTGAACTTAACTCGGATTTCACGTGCGATATTTGTGGCTGTTATAAATGTTCCTCTGGCCGTTTCTGCCCACAAAAGAGCCCCGGGGGGGATCGGGCTGGAGTCGCCGAGCAGGGAAGGGATGGTGGGCAGAGCAGGGAAGGGATGGTGGGCAGAGCAGGGAAGGGATGGTGGGCAGAACAGGGAAGGGATCGTGGGCAGAGCAGGGAAGGGATCGTGGGCAGAGCGCTGCTGCCCTCCTTTGACAGGAGAAACGAGGGAAGAGTTGCCACGAAAAACGCTGGAAGCGGGACCGGCGAGGTCACTGGAACTTCCAGTCGCATCCTAATGGGAAGAGAACACGGAATGTGCAGTTTAGGGAAAAAAAAAACCGTTGTTAACCAATGACCTGATTGTTTTCTGTGCGGGGAACATGACGGGGAATGACAGTCAGGGCTGCTAATTCCGAACTCTAAGAATCGTTAGTGGAGCCCAAACAATACTGGGAATAATAAATCACTTTGGGAGCACCCTGGGAATGAGCAGGGATTCGTCATGTGCCCAGCGGTGGGCTTGGCAAAGCCTCCTGCATTGTCTTTCCAGGGACCAAGGGCAGCTTTGCAGAGGGACCTGCAGGAATCCCGTCAGCCTGTGCTGGGTCCCTGCTTTGGATTTGATTAGAGAATTCTCCATCGTCTGTCTGCTAATCTCCATCTTCCTCCTCCTTCTGTTTTGTCTCTCCAGGGGGAAAACTGGCTCTCCTGGATGTTTGAGAAACTGGTGATTGTCATGGTTTGTTATTTTATCTTGTCTATTATCAACTCCATGGCCCAGAGCTACGCCAAGAGGCTGCAGCAGAAGATGTACTCTGAGGAGAAAACCAAATGAGCTGGAACAAACCCCCTCAGGGGGCCCTGGCAGACACAGGAATGACACAGCTTTTCATATGGTTAAAAAATCAGCATTATTCAAAACAGGGGAAAAACTTTTTAACATCAGTTTTCAACTAGAACAAAGTTTTTATTTGATTTTTTTTTGAAAGTAATTTGGATATTAGAGCAAAGGTTTCACTGACAAGCTTATAAACGTTAAGGTAAGGTGTGAATGCTTCATGAGTCTGGGTTGTGTTGGACAGGATGGACAATGGGATGTTCAGTGGGGTTTTACACAAACGTTGTCCATCCAAATTACTTCCAAACTGGATGATTTCATACTCTCCATTTCCTGGGTTAACTCACACTGACCTGAGGGCGACTTCTCATTTAGAAGGGTGGCTTGTTTTGCTTTTTCCATGACTTTCCAGCCCATCACGATGTAAATAACTGAGTACAGATTGGATACAAACTCTTGCATGTTCCTCCTGGTAAGGCTGTGCCGTCTGAATTCCCGGTGTCCCATCCATTGCACGTTGGAAAAGCCACCCTGCCCAAGTCCGTGCTGTTATCAGAGGTGATTGATGTCAAATGCTGACGCCGACATTTTTTATTCTGTATATTTAGAATGAAGTTAAGATAAAACTTTATAAAGGCATCTTTGATCATTCCAGAATTTCTTGTGTCAGTCTTTTTAAGCTCTTTCTTTCCCTCTCCACTTTTGGATGCTCAGTTTCTTTCTGAAGCCTTAATCCCGTGAGCTGCACGTTCACTCAGCCTTCCTGCACTGATGGTGCTGAAACCCTTTGGGCTTTTTTTGTTTTGGTTTGGTTTTTTTTCTCTTTTTTCTTAAGAACTTCTTACTCAGCAAAGGCAGCAGGAAGGACATCCCTTGCTTGAAGCACAAATAGGCAGGTTAAGCAATGAACAATATTTATTCTGCTCAGGTGTTTGCCCCTGATGCCAGAATTGTGGGCAGTGGAGGAGAAGAGAGGGGGAAGATTTAATATTCCAGCTGAAAGCAGATTTGATGTCCAGAACAGAACTTTAAAGAACTTTAATCTTATGCTTTTCAAGTCAGATATTTTCCAAACCTTGTTCTGAACCAGTGTGTGTGTGTGTCAGCTCTCATGTCCAGGAACAGAACTAACATTAAAATGGCTCTTTTCTCTCTTTGGTCCTTCCATCTGTAAATATTTGTGACCTGTTGGTTTGATTCCTGTCCTGGGGGTAAGTAATGCTGAGTTTTCTCTCGGTGAGCATCGCAGGAGGTGCTCAGAGCAGGTTAGACCCTGCCTGGCTGAGCTTAGGCTGGGCTGGGGCAGGTTTGGAGCCAGGGGGAGCTGGTGTGTGTCCCGTGCTGCGAGTGTGCCGTGGTGTTCCAGCTGCTCCATCCCCACCATCCTGTCGGATAGCTTATCAGACTGATGTTGACTGTTGGATCTCATGGCAACAACAGTCGGTAGGCTGTCTGACATTTTGGTATCTCTCATCTGACCGTCCCCTCATCCATCTCCAGCTGTTCCATTGAGCATCAGGTTGGGTTTAGCTCCGAGGAGGAGTCGCCGCTGCGGTTCTGCATAACAAACATCCTTTATTTAGAGTTTCATCCCGGTTGTGTGTGAGGTTTGTACCTTGTTTCTTGTGTTTGAAGTTCTCTCTGAAGCCAACAACCAGAGCGGGGAGGCTGCTCTGACAGAGCTCTGAGCAGAGTGAATTTACATATCTAAGGCTCGGGAGGTGGTGCAGGGTGGTCAAAAGCACAAAGGCCATTCCTGTGCTCCTGGTGGTTTTTAGAGGTGAACACTATTGCTTAAATTCTCCACCTTTTTTTTTTTTTCTTAAATCTTTTCACTTTTTGGCCTAAATAAGGTCTTTGAAAATAAAGTCACAAAGGTCTTCTAACGCAGTGCACATTCCAAAAATCACAGCTCTGCTTGGTACTTCACTTTTCTCAATCCGTGGAAACTTTGGAGCTGCACTTTGAGGGGATCCCAGCCCAGAGCTGTGTGTCCCGTTCCCCTCAGGACACTGGAGCAGTGACAGCCCTTGGCTGCTCTCCCCAGTTCTGGTGGCAGCTTTTTTGTCCTCAGATTCACCCGAGGGACACGGGTATTTATTTATTTACCTCTCTCAGTTCTGGTGGTGTCTGGAAGCTCCCCTGGCAGTGGGTGACACATTTACCTGTGTGCCCTCAGGCTGAGATGAGAAGACTCTAACAACAACTAAAAGAGAAAAAAACCCTTTTCCCAGAGCCTGAGCCAATAAACTGCTCCTTTGGGGGTCTCCTTACAATTCTGCCTCTTGCCTGCTGGAAAATCCCTGGAAAAACAGAGCTTTCTCCCACTTTTAGTTCAATATGTTTACATACATATAGTGTGAAATATATATATATGTCTGTTGTTCTTCAGCTTGTGTTCCATGTGTCCATTCCAATAAGCTCTGCTGTTATTCTGAAGCTTTCTAACACTTATTTAAAGAAGGAGCTGATGGTTCTACCTGCTCCTACCTGTTCAGCTGCTGGGAGATGATAAGACTTGGTAAAAGGTAAAAAAAAAATCATAGAAATGAAAGTAAACCTAATGGGTAGTTTTATGTTTGCTTAAATAAACAAAGAAATAACGTTTCCCAGTGTTTATTTCAGCTGGATTGTTTCCACTCTGTGTATTGAACTGGGTTGGTAACACTGTGACATTTGTTGTCTGGAATGGAGCAGATACATCTGCAGCTGCATTTTTGTGGCTTCCGAGACTTGGAGTCTTTCAGCATTTCACCTGAAAACATGGATTCTGCTCCCTAAATCCACAGCTTCCTTTTGCTGTCCGTATCTTTAGTCAGGCATTGGAAGCAGTCAGTCATCTCCTTCAGTGTGTTAGGGACAAATCCAAGGGGAGCTCTTGCAGGAGAGACAGTCTGGGCACAGGTCTCTATTTTTAGCTGCTGTCTCTCAGTTTAGACACTGAATAAAGCATCTTGCTTTTTTTTTTCCTGGGAGTTACTGAAAATCACACGGAAGTAACAGCAACTAACGGTTGGTTAAACCTCAAAGATGACTTTGATGTGATAGAGATTTTTTCACTCTCGTCTTCTGTGGGGCGTGGCTGACGCTCTCTTGCTTTCACGAGAGGAAAACAGAAAGTAGCACATCAGAGCTCAGGTCAGGCAGGGCTGAAACTCCTCCTCTTGATTTTCCTGGCTTTTCCTGCCCGCCCTGTGGGTCGTTCCTGCCCGAAGGTGTGCCCTGGGGGAGGGGGCAGAGCTGCCCTGCCCCAGCGGTGGGGATTGTTGGGGTCAGCACAGCTCAGGTCACAGTGCCCGTGGCAGGTCAAATCCTCCAGTTCCACGCTGGAAAACAGCCAGGAAAGCTCCTGCTCCCTGTGTCTGTAGCTCCTTCCCTCCGTCCCGGTGTCCTGCTGTGTTTCTGCTCAAGCAGCTCCCTCTGAACTCCCCCGGCTGCCTGTTCCTGCTAAAAGATCCTTGTCATTAACACTTGACAGGGGCTTAACGCTGGTCCCCAGAGCCCTTCCCTGCTGTGCCTTTGGCTTTCGGGATTTGTTTTGTCACAGTGTCACCCTGATTATCAAGCACAAATATAAATATTAGTGAACCAAATTGATCGCAGGTGGAAAGATAAGTGGGGGCTGGGGGTGCTCCTGGGAGGTAAAAGCCATCGGTTTTCTTTGAAGCACGTGGTTAAAACATACTTTGTAATCAGCAGTTAAAAGGCTGGATGTGATTTTAGATAAGGCAGTTGAAATGGCTCTTCAGAGATTTAAAATTCTGTGGGTTTTTCCTGTAAATTTGAAGGTTTGGGGGTTTTTTGGATTTTTTTTTTTTTAAGGGAATAAGAAAAACCAGTAAGTACTTCACTCAAATTGCAGCCCTCAGTGGGAGTGAATCCTGCTGGGCTGTGGCCCCTGGTGGGAGCAGGTGAGGGATCAGTGCTGGAGCCTCCTGGGTTCCTGTAACCTCAGGAAACAGGGAGTGAAGCAACTGCCTTCCCGTGAAACACCCTCCGATGCTCTGGTAAATATTTGCCTGTGCTCTGGCAAACTGATTTTTAGAAGGATTATACTGAGAAACTCTTTGAGCCTTCTGTGTGACTACCCAAATTCAAGTGCCTAATTGAGGGCACGAAATGCTGGCATTTATTTCTTTATCCATTTCACTTGCTTACTGATGCATCCACTGTGCTTTTGGGAGAGGCAGCAGAACAATGCTCTGGCAGTGGTGGGGAGGGAGAGGCTGGAACAGCCCGGGGCACTTGTCAGGAGAGAAAGGAACTCAGAGGCAGAAACTCACTGCTGTTATGTCACCTCCCAGGTACAAGCAAACAGCAAGAGCCCAGCAATGTGTCAGGAATTCAGAAAAAGGGTATTTTGGTCAAAAAAGCTCACTGTTGCCTGTGCTGGATTTAAAGGGAAGGGATGTTGAGGTTATTCAGCTCATTCACTGCTACTGGTGTAAAACAAAGGTGCAAAGTAACTTATGGAAGGGCCAAGCTTGGGTTTAGTTTGCTTTAGCAGTGCTCTTTATCGTGCTGAGGGGGATTATTATTATTATTATCCATGGAATGACTCAAAGAGCATTGGCTCCATGAGCACGAAATCAAAGGTCACCTTTCTCTGGAGCTCATTCGAGGAGCTGCTCAGATGTGGGTGAGTGTGAAGATCCTCTGTGTTTCAGGGGAGTTCCTCCCAGGTCATTGTTCCTCTGCTTTTCCAAGAAGCCTGACTGAGTTGCCCTGGCAGCTGGCAAGGAGGAAGCTGGCAGCTGCTTCCTGCTGAAAGGCAGGAGATGGGAGCTGGCACTCACATTGTTCCCTGGGATAACGGCCCTGTGGCCACACCCGGCTCCTCTGGCCCTGGAAAAGGGGAGTTGGTGTTTCTGGGGAGCCTCTGGAGAGGCTGTGCTGGCCCTGCTGGAGGGGCCCAGCCAGGGAAGGGCTCTGTGCTTCACCCACGGGATTTAAGGCACAATCCGCTGGGTTTGGTGCAAATCCTTGGAGCACTGACGTGTTACACGAGGCTGTGACCACACATCAATCTGCTGTAGGGTGTCACCTCTTCCCTTCCTTGGGGACCAGCTCATCTGTGGCATTTCCCAGGTCCAAAGCCTTTCCACTGGAAGGTGTCAGCTCTGACTGGCCCCACCTCTAAGAAATTCCCAAGAGATCCCATGCAATTCCCAAAGCTTGTTCTATCCACATGCAGTGACCTCATGGTACCTCTGTTCTCCTTCCACTCCAAGAAAATAACTGGCAGTTCTCTTGCAGAAGCTGCTGCTGATTAAAACACACCAATACTTTGTTCAAGGCTCACACTGAAATGCAGAAATGGAATTTTGAGGGACTGTGGCTTTCCTGACACTGCCCTTTCCATCTGGTGACCGAAAAAGCAGGTTTGTGTGCTCAACATTTTTCTGTGTCCAAAAGAAACTGAACCTGCAGAGATTTACACATTTAGATTTACAACATAACACAAACACTGCCATTTTCACAAAACCTCTCTGGCCTGCTTAGAAACCACCCTGCTCTCAGTGCCTCTTGCTGCAGCTGTTTCCTCAAGAGCTGGAATATTCAGGATATTTTCACAGCAACAGGTTCCATTGCTCAGATTCTTGAATTTGTGGGTCTGTTCTCAGCCTGGCTGAGCTCCTGTGACATCCAATCCCATGGATCCCTGTGTAAGAGCCCAGGTGAGGAGCAGCAAGGAGGACACTTTCAGGATGGCTGGGGCTGGTGTTCAGTGGAGTTCAAACTCATGGGTGCCAAAGAAATGTCCAAAGCAGTATTTCTGCTGGATGTGTGCTGATCCAACTGGTGGGTTTAGTGCTGTTGCCTCCCTTAATCTCCACCCAAACCTGATTTAATCACTGGTGCCTGTGCACAGCCACCCTGTGGCAACTCCACGGAGCAGCAACTGAGACCTTGGGGCTGCCCAGGAGGAGCAGGTGCTGCTGAGGAGTCAAATAATCCACGTCCTTTGGCAACAGATTCCAGCTGTGACAGATCCTTCCAATTACGGGAACAAGGAAAGGGGTTAAGTGTTGTTTGGAGGAGCCTGAGAGCCCTTGGCTAAGGCTGTCCCTGATGTCTCCTCCCCTGGTCCTTCCTGGAGCTCTCTCTGCCCTCAATACAGCGATTTTTGGACAAGTCCAGGCCTGTTGACTGAAGTTTTGTTCAGCTGGAGGACCCCACGTGTTCATGTTTCCTTCCTAAGGTGGCTGAAGAACGAGCTCTCCTTTCCCAGCACAGGTTTGGATCTGGTTTTATATAAGAATACTCTGGGTCTGGGGAGAAGCCTGATTAAATCTTTGTAGAGGAAAATAAGGTGAAACCCCGAGTTTAGTGGCTGGTAGGGAGGGAATGGAAGCTTTCTTCTTGGGAGATACATTTAATTGGATATTGGTTGCCAAATTTATGCCTTTAACTTCAAATAACAACATAAATCAGATTGCTGACTTAGCTGACTCACAGGTAGTGCTACAGGCTGAGGCTGCAGCTCCAGCCAAGCCCAGCCAGGATTTGATCCCACCTCCAGTGGGATGGGGCTGGTTTCCATTTGGCTCCCCTGCCACGCTGCTGTCGATGATCTCTCGCAGATTGGAGGCTGCTGGGCAGAAGTTCAACTCAAATCATGCCATGACCACAATGACACCATTCCCAGGCAGCTCAAGTGTTATTTTTTGAGCCTTAAATAAACACGTGGAACCAAACACGGGCCACGCTCAGTTTGGCAGGACACACCCATTTAATGCAAACACACCACGAGCAGTGAAATCAAAGCCCCAGCAACGTTTATTCTGCCTTTTTTTGGTTTAACCAGTGGCTTCTTTTAGTTAGCTTCTCTACTTACTACTCTTACATTTAAAATAGGAATTTGGGCCTAGAGAGCACCCTCATTTTGGTTATTTTTCTCTTTTACTGTGTAACTGGGCGTATTTTAATTTTTTTTTTTAAGACTAAGAGAAGGTTTCTAGCACCTAATTCACCCAGATAAGTACAGAGTGTGCCTCTGCTAGAAGTCACAGTTTAGAACCTCTCAGGCTTTAATTAAGGTTTAGATTTCTTCTGTGATCTTTATCACGGCACATATTTATTTTAAAAACTGCCTTTCGTTTCCTAAGGAGCAGGAGCAGCTTCACTGATCTCCTCCCAGAGGCCTTTTTCACCCTGTCCAGGGTGCTCCCCCGGGGCTGGCAGGAGGATTTGTTTGGAGAGCCCTGGGAAGGGGCTCACGGAGCGGGATGTGCCGAGGGAAAGGGTTAAGGGGCAGGTTGTGCTGATTCCCGGCCGTGTGTGAGTCACGTCCCCTCCCGCGGAGGGGAAGTGCCCGTCTGGAGGGACGGGACCCGCACAATGTGGGCTCCGAAGGGACCATTGTGAGCTGCGGCTCCGCTGAAAGAGCCGGAAAAGCTCCCCGGTTAAAATTGGGGATTCTCAGCTCCGCAGCCGGGCCGGTTCAAAGCCGGGGGGCCGGAGCGTGGGCAGAGCTGGGCTGGGAAGCAGAGGCTGCCCCAGGAACCTGGAATTTGCTGCCTTGGCGAAGCTGGGTCCGGGCTGCCCTTGGAAGCAGTGGAGGAAAGGCAGCAGCTCAGTTCCTTTTGGAAGCTTTTTTTGTGCTAAATCGGATCCATGAATCACTTCCCTGATGACTCCTGTGCAGGTTTTTAAAGTGGTGTCCAGCAAAACTCACATTTCTTCATCTGGGAGTGTTTCTTTTTGGATGTTTAGTCTCTCACTTCATAATATTTATCCAGACTAAATTTCTTAGCAAATGCAGAAGGAAGTGAATAATTCATCCTTTTGTACCTTAATTTTCCTTAGTAGTGTGTCAGCTGGTAATTTGAATATAACTTTCATATTGATAAATTCCTGGTTGGTGTGGGAACCATAGATTTTTTTTTTTTCCCCTTATATATTTACCCCCAGTTCTATCCTTCCTGTCCTGGTAGTGAGTCTGACCTTAAAAGCACCAATATCTGCTTATAGCCAAATAAATCATATCTATAAATACATTAACTACTGTCACCTGCCACTTATTGTGTTTAAAGTATTTTAGGTTATTGAAGGTTTTTGTTTCTGGGTTGGAATTTTTTCGGTGGGTTTGATTTGTTCAGGTTTTTTTGGGGTTGTTTGGTCTTTTTTCTGTAGTTGGAGTCCTTGACTCAACTTCCAAGTGAGCTGCACCTGTCCCTCCCAACAACAATAGTGAGGTTTGGTGCATTGTTCCAGGTTTATGGACATCCTGTGGGGACTTTGCCTAAAACCAGCAAGGTCGAGGCCACTGATTCTGTTGTTCCTGTCACTGAGCCATTGGCTTGTGCTGACCTTTGATCCACCTCATTAACTTTAATTGCTTAATGAAATAAAGGCCCTCTGCCAGGCTCTGACTATCCCCGTGATTAATTTTATCAATAAAATAGAAAAGTACTGCTCCACCTTCTAATACAAGGGTAAATTATGAATCTTTGATACCAGCTATTCACTTCCTGCCACTTTGACCCTCTGCACATCCTGGGGAAAAAAAAACCCAGAGGAATCAAAAACTGAAGGCTGGGTTTGGGAAAGGGTGTGAGAATTTCAGGATTGAGGTCAGCAGTGAAAAACAGTCACAGGAAGAAGCCTAGAGATGCCTCAAACAGCTCCTGTCAGAGCAGTGGAGAGGATTATAACAGATAAATACATCTACACTTTTGGTTTCAACTCTTTTTTTTTTTTTTTAAAATACTTTTGAGGAACCTGTGTTGTCAAACTTTGGCTGATGGCTGTGATCCTCTATTGCTGCTTTTAAAAATGTTGTTTTCACGTGGAATTAGGAGTGTTTTCCCTGAATCCTGACTGTGAACAAGTCCTTACAGAGCAACCCTTGATAAGCAGTGATGGCCCTGCTGGCCTGGCTGTGTCTGTGAGCTGCAGAATCTTTCCCTCTCTGTTTTCTTTTGTTAAATAAGGAAATCTTCATTTTTGCTCTGGGGTTGTGCATCTCAGCTGTGTGTTGTGTTTCCTGACATGGCATCAATTCTGCCATCCAACTTAAACAAAAAAACCCCTTCCAGTAACCTGCTGCATTACCTGGAAATCCTATGAGCCATAACTGATAAATATGGGGCTGTGTCACCCACTGAGCACCTGCTGCCTTTGCTTCATGCTCAGAATTATAAATACATGGAGATAACAGGTTATTCCTGCAATAAAGTGGGTTATGGTGCTGCTGGATCAATAACCCTTTGCTCTCTTCCTCGTTTCTCAGAGGACTTATCTGTCTTTAGCTTTTTAAACACCTCATTTACCTGTTCTGTGGGCCAGGAGGAAGCATTGCTGGGACTTGGCCCTTGTTGCAGACGTGCAGTTCCCCGTTTCTGACCAGTCTGGGATCTGTTGGGAACACCAGGACAGGGGTGTCTGTGTGGCTGAACATCCTGGGCCTCCTGCAGGAGGGAGAAGCTCCCCACGGTGTCCTTTCCTGACCCTTTGTTCTTGCAGTGCCTGTGCTGTTTGTCCCAGCTCGTGCAACCTTTCCTCCAGTTTCTTCTGTGGAAAATACCCAAATTAGACACTGGTTGAAAGGGACAAAAACACCCCCAAAAAATCCCTTTGGACCAGAGCAGTGCCCAGCTCTGAGCTGCCATCTTTCAGTTAAAAGTTTCAAGGCCTGGCAAGAAATGGCACTAAAAACCTAAAGGGATGCTCTGAAATGTGAAATTTGTCAAGGGAAAAGTCCCTGAGACTGATTTGCTTTAAACTCTTTTATTTTTTGGCCTGTGGGATTATTTCTATGGGAGGATAAGTATGACATGGGGGGGAGGAATGGCAAGAACTCCCCAAACTCTCCCTGCCATTAAGTGAAAAGCTGACAGAGGCAGGAGGAAGCTTGGTGTTACAACATAATCCTTAATTCTGGACTCTTTTATTCTATATTTATATATTCTTATATTTATTTTATATTTATATATTCTTACATTTATCTTATATAAATGTAAATATTATATTATATATATATATAATAAATATATAAATATTATATATTTATTTTATTCAGCGTGTGTGCCTTCCCAAGGGATTCAATCCCTTCCTCCTTCCAGGCTGGTGCAGCTGCAGCTTCCAGGGCACCACCTTGTGGTCGTGGTAAAACTTGTGCAAAAAAAAACCCCCAGACAATTCCTTAAATTGCTTTTTGAAATTTAAAAATAGATTAAACACGATATTGCTGCGTCCTGTTCTATTTGAAATCTAGCAGCCATCCTCCTGCCAAATATGTTTAAATAAATAACGAATTAATTAAGTTCTAACATAGAGGAAGAGCAGTTGTTTTGCTTAAACATGTGGTGTGTGTATAACAAGGAGCCAAGGCCTCTGCTCTGCTATAGGGATTTATTTTTCCCGAGTTTTAGGCACAGGGAAATGGTGAGAAAAGGATTTAATTAACTATAACCTCTAATATAACTTGAGGATGACAGGAAAATGAAGAAATCTTTGCATTTCTCTTAAAAGATGGTCCAAAACTTTCGCTGTTTGGTCAAAGTTAAGGTCCTTAAAATCTAATTTATTCTGACTTTGCTTTAAAGGCCCAGGTGCCACAGTGTTGTATCTTGAATCTCAAATGGAGCTTGGATTAATAATCCTGGCACTGCTGTTTTATCAGCATTAAAGCATTCTTTGGGCAAAGTGTTACAATGAAAATTCATGATAGTTTATATTAAAGTGCCAAAAATTATGTTCAGAGAGGTAGCTACAGTACATAGCAAATGTATTGAAAAATAGCTATTTATTAGATAGATTAAATAAGAATAATACCTGCCCATAGGAATATATTCAGCTCAGAGTCAGTTCTTGCTGTCCTAACACACACACACACTGCTTTCAAGACTGAAAACCAGCTCCAGCCCAGACATTTCCATACTTCAGGAAGTTGATGGGAGGTTTTCCAGTGCTGGGTTCTTTCAGAAAAGCTCTATTTCTGATCATTTAAAAGAAAGAAAATCAAAGGGTGGTGTAACTGGAGATAACTTGTTCCAGGGTTGTGAAGCTGTCCAGGAAATCTTCCTCTTCAATTCCAAATTTGGTGTACTGGTGAATATAAGCTCTGTGTGGGGAAGGATGGGTAAGACATTGGAAATCAGGGGGGAATCTGACACATATTGGATATTTACTGTGAAACCCCCAAATTGGGATTGGTTTCCACCCTATAACTGTGCTGGTGAGTTTTTACTGTGCTCCCTCAAACTCATTTTGTAATTCCTACTGATCAGTAAGTCCTGACTTGTTTCCAATGGTTTTTATATCTGTGTATTGGTTGAGGAAACAGAATTGCAGCTAAAAAAATTGGGCTAAGTGGGAAATGGAAGGGGAAGTGATTAATACACCCCAATCCCCTCAGTGCTGCTGACTGAGCCAGGAAGTTTTTTCCAGGCCCGTCCACAAGCTGGAAACTAAACCATCAGCAAAAGAGCTTCTGTGTGTTATTTTTAGGATGGTCAAATTGGAATGCACTAAATCTGGGGAGTTTTGGGACTGAGAAAATACACTGAGAGCACTGCAATCTGTGGTCTCACTTATTTACAATGATTTCTCTCCCACTGAAGATACTGGCAGTTATTAGGGAAGTCTCAGCATGACTCTTTTCACTTACTTGGAAGCAAACATATTCCAAGCTTTTCCCACAACGCTGTCGAGAGGTTTCAGCAGGAACTGGCTGTTGCTGACCAGAGAGGCAGACTTTTCATACTTGTTAAATGCTCTTGGTGTTCTCCAGGCATTAAAAGCATCCTGAGGCTTTAGCCATGATGTGTACAGGGAGGGATCTTGGAAACTTCCTGGAGCAGAGATAAGACAGCCCTTGTGGTAAATGTAAAGCTGCAAACTCCTGCATCTTGATCTCAGTTGTCCTGTGTGACTTAATCAAAGCTTGGCAGATCAGTTCAGGCCTTGGGAAAACTCTGCAGAGATCAGCCTGCAGAAAACAGAACTTTGAAACAGATCCCTTGGATTATCTAGAAGTGCTCTCTTGTGTCAGTACTGCATCTGCCAGCCATGCTCATCACTCCAGAAACAGCTAAATGTATTTTCAGACAATAAAGCCAAGAATTTCATCAGATACACAGATTACAGGCTCTTCCTCCTGCCCTGAAGTGCTTTAGGAAGCTGCTGTAAAGACAACAGCCCAAAGCAGTTGGACAACGTGGCCTTGGACACTAAACTGTTTCTAGAGGGAATATTGACCTTTAGTAACCAAACATGTGGCCTTGGGGTGTTTTTATTTTAATCAGATGTGGTGTAAAGAAACCATAGAGATGTGAAACAAGAACCCCTGAGGTTTGGGGCTTTTCCTCCTTACCCAAATCCACACTGTGGACATCTTTTCCTCTCAGGATAACCAGGTTGGCAATGGAAGTGTTGAAGTGCAGTGGCTTCTTTGTGGAATGGCTGGAGGGGGTGGAGGAGCCTGGAGGAGGTGGTCGTACTTGCCAGTCAATACCTGTGTGATTTTGGTAAAAAAAGACAGAAAAGATAGTTAATGTTTTGTGAAATCCGGATTTGGAATAGCTGAAGAGGCAGATGGGAACTATCACTGTGCCCCACACTGGAGTTTGTAGCTGCTGCACTTTAATTAAGCAGCAATCACACAATTCCCAGGGAAAAGCAGTGCTAATCCAGCAGTATTTTCCTGGTAGTCACTTGTCTAGCAGAGAAAATGATACCTGTTTCTATCCTTAGCAATTGCCAGCCCATTCCCTGCATAGCTGGAAGCTATAACTGAATTCCCATGTAAATGGTAGGGGAGAGCTGAGCAGCATTTTCATGAGTAGAAGGTGTAAAAAGAAAACACAGCAATCCCAACCCAAATGAAGGATGTAAATTAAGTGCACAGCCACAATCTGTTGGTTTGGTTTGTGTGTTTTCAGTGGCTGTAATTAACTGAGATGGCTGGAAGCAAAGGCAGGAGCAAGCTGAGGGAATGGTTTGAGGAGCAGCTGGAGGCGAATTCCTGCTGAGGGCTCTGAACTGACTGAAGGGAGCTGCACTAAACAATCAGCTTTATCTCACCTGGAGAAATGAGTGAGGAGAGGGGAGGGAATGCTCTGTACCTTCCTCCATCTGGGCATTAGCAATGAGCATCTGCCTCAGATGTTTGATGAGCCCAGGCCAGCTGAAGGTGCTGTAGGGGAGGGAGTTCTCAGGAATCTGAGGAATGTTCCGGAGCCCCAACATCTTGAACTCGGGATGTGGGACCAGCGTCTCCATCAAGTCTCCTGGAAGGAGAAATCAACAGCTGCTCACCTTTGACAAAAACTCTGCCCAGGGTGGCTAAAACAGGAGGAGAGAGGGAGGAATGTTACAGAGGTTTAGCAATTTCAGACAGAGCAATGCAAACTTGCTGTGTGTTACTGAATTAATAGCTCTGATTTTACAATTTAGACTTGTCTCACTTCTCAGAATCTCCAGGACTCTCTGCACTGCTAAAGAGATCGACAGACAGATGGGAAAGCTTAATTTTGGGTAACTTTCTCTAATTCCTCGAGGGTATAAACACCAGCCTGTTGCTCCCAGGTTGTCTGCTCACCTGTTTTCTGCTCAAACACAAAACTTTCAGTTTGTTTCAGTTCATACAAATTTCTGCCCCCAAGTGAAAGGTGAAGCTCAGCCCAAAAGCACTGACCTGCACGAGTTTGTAAATAGGTACCAGGGTGTCTGTGGTCACTTGGAAAAGCAGAAACAGGGTTCTTCTGGTGAAGAATGAAAGCAGAAGTTGGGGGGTTTATTTTTGACTCTGCTACAACATTGGGATTGGATTGAACTTCTAAATTTGTCTTTTCCTCCACTTTGCCTGCCTGAAAACTTGGGATGTACCCAAATAGTTGAATAAGGAGACTGAAGAACTTCAATTCCCCCCTGACCTGACTAGAGAGAGGTGTGTGAATGACATGGTTTGGTACCCAGTGGGTTCCTGCTGTAGTTTGAGCCCCCCTCTGCTGGGTGAACGGGCTGGAAGACGCTGCCCAGCTGATGTGCAATGACTTGGTTCACATCCCTGAAGGAGATCTGTTTGATGTTCATCAGCTGGGCACAGATCTTGTGGATGACATCGTTCTCGTGGACAAGGAGGGCGTCTGAGGAGCGGTACAGATGTGACAGAGTCAAAACAGAGTTGTAGTTTTGAACAATGACCTGGGAACAAACAAACAAACAAAAAAACCCACACAAATGAGAGTCAAACTTAATCCCTTTCTAATTTATAATCCTCTGGCTGCTGCTGTTTCCTCAGCTGAGATTTAGGAAGTGATTCATTTTCTTTGCCAAAGTGCAGAATGAGGTCAGGAGCTCAGAGCTTTTCCAGGCAAAGAGGGCAAGACCCGTGAAAATCAGGTTATCCATCTCTCTCCATACAAACATGCTGGAACAAAATCTACCTGGGAACTGATTGCACTGCTGAGATAAGATCCCAACAGGAGATTTCTAGTTCTTGTGAAACTGCACCACTTCAGCACTTGAATTATCAAGAATTTGTTTTGGTGAAATCACACGTACCAAATATCAGGCAAACAATCCTTTAGCTGTGTTACTTACTCATTTGAACTTTGTAAAAAAGTAAAATGTACTTATTTTCCTTCGTATTTCTGTTGTAGGTATTTTATTTAAAAGTAAGCAGTGATTATAAACTTAAAAATTCTCTATAATTCTATATAAAAAGGCAATGTGACATTCACCTCACCAGTGCCATAGGGCCAGATAACGTGGTTTAGGATAAATGAGGCTGGAAAAGCATCTCTCAAGCACTGGGTCACAAATGCTCCCAGGCCTGACCCTGTGCCCCCAGCCATGCTCATGATGGTGAAAAATCCTCCCAGGCGGTCGCATCTCTCTGCTTCTCTCTGCACCAGATCCATGATTGATTCCTTGTGTCTGGGCCCGTGGACAGAGTAACTGGGGAGTAACAGAAAAGCAGGAAGGTGAAGCTATTCATTAAGCAGATTTTATTATTATTATTTCTATAAGCTTGCACTGCCATCCATTCTATCTGCACTAAACAATCCTTAGCTGTGATGTTCATTTTGCAAAACAGCTGTTTATAAACTGGCCTTGTTGTTTCCTATTCTTAAATATATTCTCTCCATTCTAAAATGTCATGTTTTCACTGCAAAGGAGCGAGGCCCTGGCACAGGTTGCCCAGAGAAGCTGTGGCTGCCCCATCCCTGGAAGTGTCCAAGGCCAGGTTGGAAGGGGCTTGGAGCAACCTGGGATAGTGGAAGGTGTTGGGGTTGGAACTGGATGAGCTTCAAAGTCCCTTCCAACCCAAACCACTCTGGGATTCTATGATTCAAACACCAGTTTCATCTTGCAAAAATCAGTTCAAAAATTACACTGTTATCTATATATTTCTACTTTAATTTAAAAATAAATCCTGTTCCATACTAAGCTGCACTCCTAGAGAGTGTAAACAGCTCCTTAGCCTCCACAGTTCCCTTGGGAAGCCTGGAACAGCTCTCCATACCCGTTGGCCCAGTTGTTCCCAGAGCCTTGCTTCTGGCAGAAGTGGGACTGGTTGTTGTATTTCCAGCAGCCAGACCTGGCAGCCATGGATAAGGTTTGGCTGATGACTTTGGGCTCCATGTCAACCAGCACAGCCCGGGCCACAGGCACTGCAGAGGGAGAAAAACAGAATTAACAATAACGTGCCAACATGTTTACGTAAAATGGCTGGATTTGGATGGATACCATGTCCCAGGCTGTATTCCTCCCACCCACATTATCCAAGCCATAAATGGAACAGCACAGGCAGCACAGAAAAGATTTGGCCATGCCTATGTATTGTGCCAAAGATAAATGTGAACTCCAGAGTTCTCCTTCAGGAAAGAAACCACTCAGTGTGTTTGATAATGTCAAATTTGGATCCTGTGGGTCCTACTCTGGGGTGTGATCCATCTACAGCAGAAAATGCAGATGTCTGGAAGGAAAGATTATGTTTTGTTTCCAGCTGTGCTACTGGGAAACTGGCTTTGTCTTCTCAGAGCCTTCACTGCACTGATTCTGCTTCCATGTCTGCAGCAGTGTTGTGAGGGCAGAGGGTTAAACAGTCCTTCAAGACTGAAGGTAAAACTCATTCCTCAACCGAAGGTAAAAGACCTGTTTTATTTCTGTGTCCTGAAAACAGACCCTGTGTGGGGAACAAAAAGCCCTTTTAAAGCTGTACCTCCAGATTCCTCCTCCCAGAAAAACCTCTCCTTGCAGGCATCCTGGTAGGATTGGTTTTCCTTCTTGGAGCAGAGCCCGTGAGTGCCACGGATGTCACTGCACAGGCAGCAAAACACCTCGTGCCCAATCTGGTTCCCACACTGCCCAAGCTGGACTGTGACTATTGACATCCTTCTTCAAGCCTGAAAAAGAAACGATGTCTTTAGTAATTGTGGAAAAGACGGGGGGAAAATAGTTCTGGCAGGTTTCTGGTCCGTTGTGCCAATTTTTGAGGATGGTTATACCACAACCACTGGCTATTTCTGGGGAAAAGCTGCCTGACAGCACCTTCTCCTGAATGCCAGAAGAGCACAGATGGCAGTTTAAAGGGAAGCAAGAGCTGTTTACTGCTGCTTTGCATCTGGAGGGAGCTGGAACCAGCCACATAGCAAGGGAATTGTTTGTTTTCTTCCTTTTGCTCAGTAGGGCAGGATAGAAAAAAATGATTATAACTCAAAGTTATCGGACTAGGATGTAAAAGCACAATAAGAAAGCACCACATGCCCTTAGAAATGTTGAGCCTGTTCAAAATCGTAGCTGATTTCAGTCCTGTTCTGCTCCAGGCCTGATGCCAGAGCCTGCTGAGGTGACAAAAGGATTCCCTGGAGCATTCCCCTTGCTTCCAGCACACAGAGCAAAGCTTTTGCCTCGGTACCGGCGTGATGTGACATTTTTCCCCCACTCAGCATTTTACAGCAGCTCCGCTTTCTCAGTTTTCTATTCACAGAAACAAGGCCAATTTTTTTTTTAAACTCCGGGCTGCAGTTCCTCATTGCCACCCCAGCTGTGCCGCAGCATTCCCGTACCAGCATTCCCTGGATGGCTGCCGGTGCCTGTGCCGCGTTCTGCGGGCAGGTTTGTGCTAATTTGGATCGCGGTGCGCGATTCCAGCGCCGCTGCCAGCCCGGGGGTTGCTGCGAGACCGAGAATAAACAAACATGTGAATTATCCTCAGGAAAGGCCCGTGTCCGACCCGTGCGACACCGACCGTCCCACCCGGCTGTCCGTGCCCGCAGATCCCCCTCAGGGGCCGCCCCTCAGGGCTCCCCCCCCAGAACCGCCGCCATGTTCGCCCCGAGCCCCGCCGGACCCTCTGCCGGCATCCCGATCCTCGTCCCGATCCCACCCCGTTCCGATCCCGATCCCATCCCGGTCCCGATTGTCCTGATCCCATTCCAGTCCAGAGCCTGATCCCATCCCTGTCCCGACCCTGATCCCGGTCCCGATCCTGATCCCATCCCAATGCCGAGCCCTCTCCCGTTCCCAATCCCGATCCCACCCCGCTCCCGCTCCCCTCAGCGCTCCTTTCTCCCCCTCCCCACCCTGTGTGCGGACGCTCCTTCGAACGGCCCGCCCGGCGCATGCGCAGCGCTCTCTCCTGGCAGCCTGGAGCCGCGCCGCGCCCCTCTGGCTTCCCCGCGCGCATCGCGCACGCTCCGCCCGGCGCGGCTTCCCCGCGCCCTTTTGCGCATGCGCCGCGCCAGGACTTGGAGGGCGGGCGGGCGCGCGGGGCGCCGAGTGCGCAGGCGCGGCGCGCGCGGGCGGGGCGGGCGCGCAGGCGCGCTGCGGCCGCGCAGCCGGTGATGGCGGCCGCGGCGGCGCTGCGGGGCCCCGGCCCATGAGGCGGCCCTGGGCCCGCGCACCCGGCGGAGCCAGCGACGGAGTCATGGCGGGAGTGTTCGACATCGACCTGGACCAGCCCGAGGACGCGGGCTCGGACGAGGAGCTGGAGGAGGGGGTGAGAGGGGGAGTGCGGGCGCGCGGCGTGGAGGCCGCGGGGCCTGAGGGAGGGAGGGCGCGGGAGGCGCCGCGGGGGCCGCGCTGAGGCGTCCGGGGAGAGCCCGAGCCTCCCGCCCCGCCCCGCAGAGCCCCATCCGGCCCCGCCAGAGCTCTTCCCTTCGGAAGTTCGGCGCCGGGACCGCGGGGGTTGTTTCCTGGCTTTGCCGTCACACGCTTGAGCGGCGGGGCAGGAGCGCGGCTCGCTCCGCAGTCGCGGCTCTCGCGGCAAAGTTGAAAGCTCAGATTTAAAGCGCCGCGTTGGGCGGGCCAGAGGGTGTTTGTGTGCTGTGCTGTGCTGTGCTGAGCGCTGCGCCCGCCGTCCGGAGTTCGCGGTTTGCGATGTTCGTCTGGGCTCTGCCGCGGCTTTGGGGGGGTCTCATTACAGTATCTGTTTCTATTTTTCCAGTGATGCTGTTGCTTTTTAAAATTGTTTTGTATATTAAACGTTTGGTGTTGTTTAAACTGCTACTGCATTTATTTTCTGCTGTTTAAATTCTAATGACATCCTTGGAGTCCTTGAGATCATGGAATAGTTTGGGTTGGAAGGGACCTTAAAGCTCATCCAGTCCCACCCCCTGCCGTGTTCAGGGACACCTTCCACTAGCCCAGGTTGCTCCAAGCCCTGTCCAACCTGGCCTTGGACTCTTTTAGGGGTGGGGCAGCCACAGCTTCTCTGGGCACCCTGTGCCAGGGCCTCACCACCCTCGCAGCCAGAAATTCTTTCCCAAGTCCCATCTAACCCTGCTCTCTGGCAGTGGGAAGCCATTCCCCCTTGTCCTGTCACTCCATTGTCTTGTAAAAAGTTCCTTTCTATCTTTGGTGTAGACTCCCTTCAGGTTCTTTCCTTCAGGACACGATCAGATATTCAGTTCCCCCACTCCATATGAACTGTAGGACGTTGTTTGACAGCTGAAAGCTCCTCGACCTGCAGGGAAAAGCTCTGTTTGTCACCTCAGTAATCAATAAAATACTTGGCTTAAAAAACCCCTGTAATTGCATCAGACAGTTAATGCTGCCAGGAACAGGTTCTGAGGGGGTGGCAAGAAAGTTGAGTTTGTTCTGTCTCCTGTTCCAATAGTTCAGTCCCAGGGAACAATTAAACCATTCATTGGTTAATGTGGATTTAAAAACATTGCCTTGACAGAAGTTTCTGTGGAGCAGCAACAAATGCATGTTGGCAACCTCAGCTGGTTCTCAGGTGCCTTTTGCAAACAGATAAAGGAGAGAGAGAAGTGGAATTAAACCAACTGAAAATCAGGGAATGTCAGAGCAGGGAAGAAGGGGACCATCAGGAATGTGTGGAGGGGGGGATGTTTCAGTGGAAGTTGTCTCTGTGTGTCCTACAAGGATCAGAAAGATGTTGCAGTGGAGGTCATTAAACTGGCAGTGATTGAGGTGGGAAGTCAGGACTGTGTTGTCTCATCTCTGGTACCTCCCAAAGCCTTGGGGGAGCCCAGACACATCAGCTGTGGGTTGGAATAGGCACAGCCATCCCAGAAAATCTGAAGGATTGTTAAATGCAGCGTTTCCTCAAAAGCCCTGTGGTTGTTTGCACTAATTGTTGTGGTGTGAAAAACCACCCAGCCTTAATTTTGGGGTTTGTGAGGAGTGAAATAACGAATAGACTGAAGGGCTGCTGGTGCTGTGGAAGGAGAACAAACCCTGATACAGCAGAATGGTACCTAAAGTGCATTTTGGTCAAGTTCATACTGGGAATGAAACCCAAAGTTCACAGGAGCAAGAGCAGCACACAGAAACTTTTCCAGAACCGTTGGGTAACTGGAGGGGTTGCTCTGGGAACGTGATGGGTGTTTATTCTCTGCGTTTGTTGATTTTTTTTAAATTCATTTGTTGGCATCAGGAGTGGGGTCAAGGGCAGCCTCAGTGGGTTTGTTGTGAAACGTGTCAATAAGCTGAGTTTTAATAAATGCCAGCAGGGCAGGAGCTGGAAACAAACCTGAGCTTTTGGACTCCCTCAGTGCCTGTGGTGCTTGTAGGAGTTAAATTCCCCTTTAGCCCACCCAAAATGAACCAGCCTCTGTAAACTTCAACATTTCAATGGTCTGGAAGCTGCTGAAAGTTTCTAGTTTTCTTTGGTTAGCGTTTTCACTTAGATAGTATTTGAAATGCGCTCCTTGGGCTGCTTTTTGCAGCTCTCAGTGGTTTTTCTTTCCCTTCTGTTTCTCTGAATTTCACAGGTCACTCAGTTTATCTGTATCTCCTTGCAGTTGTCATTTTTTTTGTCCATACTTTTAAAAATAAAAGTTCTGGGGTATAGTTAAGCTCCCTAGAAGCTGGCCCATGAAATTCCATTTGCATTCATTCCAGCTGTCTGCTTGCTTTGCACTTCTTTTGCCATGCAGAGCCCCAGTGAGAGGGAAGTATTATCTTGCAGAAGGGATCAAGTTGAAAATTCTCTGAAGAAATATCTCTTCAGAATTAACCCCCATTCCTCACTGGTGACTGGTCCTGCTGCTGAAGTGCCTGAACTTTCCTTAGTAATATTTACATTCATTAATCTGTGGAGTGATTATTGGTCAGGAAAGGTGTTTAACATCAGAGGAAAGCTGAATTCTTTCATTATTGTTAGGACTGAATTATTCTCAATATAAAATAATAAAACCTTCTCTGTATATTATTTGGTTTTAGTGCACATGACTCCCAGCTCATCTATTCCCATAATCTTTCTTATTGTTCTGATTTGCATAGTACTGTAATAGGACTTTAAAATCCATATGTAAGAGCAACTATAAAGAAAAATGCAGTGTCTTAATACTTTCCAAATTCTCCTGGGGCTGGGAATTTGTACCTGTAACATTTAAGTGATTAAATAACAGCACAGCCAGGTAAGGCAGTGGTTCCCTGGTCACTCTCTGAGATCTGTGGAAGTATTGCAAATCTTGCACAGAATTTTGTGCATTTTTTTATCTTCTGCTGAGAATTTATTATTCCTGACCTTTAGACTTGTTTAATTACGTAAGTTAAAATTATATCTATTTCTTTTTAATGTAACAAGCTATAAGACACATCAGTGCATTTCTTTTTAATGATTTTTTTTTTCTTTTTCTAATTAATCTTCCTTCTACCCCTCCCATCCCCAGGGTCAGTTAAGTGAGAGCATGGACCATGGAGGAGTTGGCCAATATGACCTGTAAGTTGCTGCTGGAAAATATCCTGTATCATTCATGCCAACTACACATAACTTCTCATTTTGTCCCATTATTAAGGCAAACAGAAAATGTTGTCACTCTGGCTCAAATCTGAGTCATTTCTAGACATTTCACTATTGCCTCACATTAAAATTTATGACTTGTATCTTGAAGTAATGATAACAAAATAAAATCCTGGTGAAACCTTGCTGCTTGTCTTTTAATCCTTGTTTCTCCAGCAAGGATTGTTGGAGAAACCCTGAGTTCAGGAGACAGACACCTCCAGCCTGGCTTCATTTATAGTTCCCAGATTATTCCAGTGGGGAGAAAGAATAGTTCCAGCAGTTCAGCCACCTTTCCTTGAGCAGGATCAATCTGTGTAACTTTGGCAGAGCTGGAACACAGTTTAGAAGCCTCCTTAAATTATGGATCAGACTTGTGGCATGTTCAGAGTTATGAGACTCCTCCTGTTACAGCTTCTTCTGCAAGGTATTTGTATTCTGGAAGTCTCCCCATGGCTGCTGGGGCTGCTGAGTGTGATCTGACACTTAATCACCCCTCAGAGCCTCGTGTTTCCTTGAGGTCTTGAAGAGGTGTCTAAGTCAGTTGGAGGCTTTGATCTTCCAGACTTAACTCTGGTGTAATGCAGAGCATTGTGCATTGAAATGAAGGGATTTGAGGGAGATCTTGATCCTCTAAATCCCCAAAATTTGCAGGTAATCTCCTCCGTGCAAGTTGACACTTGGAGCTTGGCAAAGAATATTTCTTTTCTAAGTGACATTCCCGGTGCTGAGGGTTCTCCAGATCCCCCGGGGAGTCGTTCCTCGGTCAGGCAGGCTGTGCTTGTCCCAGAGTCACTTGCTTCCTTTCAGTGATCATTTAGGAGTATCAGGTAGGCTTACACCCATGTTTTGTTCTCTCCAGGGGCATGGAACATTGTGAGAAGTTTGAGATTTCAGAGACCAGTGTGAACAGAGGCCCCGAGAAGATCCGGCCCGAGTGCTTCGAGCTGCTGCGCGTGCTGGGCAAGGGCGGCTACGGCAAGGTGAGGAACTCCTGCTCCCTCCCTGCAGGAGCAAATCCACACCATGGGAAAGGGCCTTCTGCTGCCTTGGGCAAGCTCTGGTCTTCCCAGCCTGTTTTCTGCCAAGTTCATTCTGCCAGAGGGGAACCCCACGGTTGGTGTGGTGGGACAGAGGTCCTGGCAGAGCATCTCCAGCAGGAAATGTCCCAAAGTGGTTCTGGGTCCCCTCACCAGCAGCCTTGTGGTTTGTGGGTCATGTCACCTCTCTTTGGCAGAACTCTTCTTCTAACTTCCTTTTTTTTCTGATTGCTTTCGTGTTGTTGTTCAGGTGTTTCAAGTACGGAAAGTAACTGGAGCAAACACCGGGAAAATCTTTGCCATGAAAGTTCTTAAAAAGGTAACCTGGATGTTCACATTTCACTGTTACCCGAACCTTCAAACAGCCTAACCTTGCATTTAGCTTTTACAATTGTCTAATGATTTATTCTACCTAAAAATAAATTTTAATATATATACAGTTGATACCCAGGTACAGTTGAAATTCGAATTTAACTTTGAATTTTTCTGTCTGGGCAGTTCTTAGCAGCTCATTTAAATAGGCCAGGAGATCCCTTCCAACCTAAATTACTGTGTAATTCTATGAAATAAAGACTTAAACTTATGCTGTGGTGAATTTCTTTTCTTATGCTGTTGCTGACTCATACATAGTGTGGTGGTTTAATAAACTCAGGATTGAACTCAATATAAAATCTGCCTTGTTTAACATGTTCTTGTGCTCACCTCTCCCTGCTTTTTGCAGGCAATGATTGTAAGGAATGCCAAGGATACAGCTCACACGAAAGCAGAGAGGAATATCCTGGAGGAAGTGAAACATCCCTTCATTGTAGACTTAATTTATGCCTTTCAGACTGGTGGAAAACTCTACCTCATCCTTGAGTATCTCAGTGGTCAGTATTTGAAATTCTCTTACCTGCTGGTGTTTTACACAACCAAGAAATTGGGTTTCTCACCCCACGAGTAAAAGGCCAGTTAACAATTGGCTTGGTGTCTTAAAATGTGAAGCAGCTTAGTATTAAAAACACCTAGAACAACATCAATAAACTTTCTAATTCAATGAAATTGGGCATTTTTGTGTGTTACACTAAAATTGAGTGCAGTCAGAGAGTCCCTGAGGGTTTAGTTCCTGCAGGTTCTTCATGACAGAAGAAAGTATTCCCTTTATTTCAGGGGTAAGGAAACAATCACAGATTAGAAACAGACTTGGGTTTTTTTTGTGAAACGTGTTGTACAGCAGGAAAAAATACCTGTTGTTTATAGTTTTCCTAGAAAATAGACTTTTGGCTTACTAAAAATGATACTTTAACTGAATATAATCTATTTTTTCTCGTGACAGGAGGAGAACTATTTATGCAGTTAGAGAGAGAAGGGATATTTATGGAAGACACAGCTTGGTAAGTGATGCTATTTTTGTACATTAATAGTTAGGGGGTTTTTTTCCAAGTGCTTAAACTATATATAAGTAGTCAGTCGTTTCAAACTGGTGAAAAGAGCAGCTCAGTGGGTTTGGGGAGGGTGTCTGTGCTGCACTTACCACTTTGTGCTGCTGTAACTCCAGTCTCTCCACAGAGGAGGGTCCACTGAGGGTGTTTTCCACAGGGCTGTGGTCAGGGAGGTGTTTTGGGTGTTGGAGAAAAAGCTGTGAAAGATTTGCTGTGAATGTGGTTTTGTTTGTTCTGGATCCACACCCAATTTCCCAGCCAGTTCCAGGATTCCCAAGGCACTGCAGTGGCTGTGTTGTGATGCTTAGAGGTGTAAAGTGCTAATTATGGTAATGAAGGAGAAGAGTATTCTGGAGTAGTGATACTTTACAGATGGACAAGTTGAAATTATCCCTTATTGATTAGGCTTTACACTGACTGCAGTTGTTCTTCTCATGGACAATGCCCTGGGAAAGCTCTGATGTCCATGTGGGACTGGGTGCTGCCAGTTACCTCTTACCTTCATTATTTCCTTTCAGCTTTGCCACCTAGATGTGGTTAGACACATATTTGAACCACTAAAAATGGTTAAAAATTCAGATTCCTCCAAATATATTCATTCTCAGATACCTACTGAGCAGGTAAACCCAATGCTAATATGTCATTTTGTGGTTCTTGGGGTTTGGGTGACTTTTAGGCAAACCAACCTCAAAGGCATCATTGTTTTTCCTTTCTTCTCCCCCAGACTTCTAATGCTGCTTTCAAGGAACTGTTGCTAGGTACATAATAGTGCTTGAACTGCTTTGCATGATTGAATATGTCTCATTTTGTGGCATATGTTTCCTTTCAGCTTTTACTTGGCAGAAATCTCAATGGCACTGGGGCACTTGCATCAAAAAGGAATCATCTACCGGGATCTGAAGCCAGAGAACATCATGCTCAATCACCAAGGTAGAAATGCAACCCTGAGTCAGCTTGGCAGGTGCTGGAAAACACTTCTGCAAAGGTCCCAACTCCTCACTCTGAGGAGAGTTTCCTTAGAGCAGGAATTGCCAGAGCTCTGATTGTCCTCAGTCACACACTGAGGTTCTTCGGGGCCCCAGCGAGCTCCAGGTCCTGTGGGTACAGACCCACATGTTGGGAGATTTGGTTGACTTGCTCTTTGTGCAATTTTTCCTCTACTGGATCATTGTAAAGCGCATAAATATCCGTGTCTTCAGCGCAGAATCCATGAATTTGGGTCCATGGGGGTGGTAGGAAAGGCAGTTTAAGGCAGGATGTCACATCATTTGCTGGAATGACTTCCCCAGCTGCTGAGGCTTTGCCTGACAGCAGTTTCAGTTCCTGAGTGCAGTTCAGTGTGTCACTGATTGTTCTGGCAGTCTGTACCAGCCACTATTTCCATGTTTTCTTAAACAACTGATTTACTTAGTCTGAGTCTTTGTACTGAATTATTCAGGGCACTTTGTTGAATATTGTTCTGTGCACTTTGAGGCAAGCAGTAAAATTCAGTTACCTACTTTCTTAGCTGAAAGATGCTTTAAAAGCTCCACGTTTAACTACAGTTGTCTATCTGTGAGTAAGTTCTGGTGGTTTGTCTTGTTTCTCTTCAAGTGGCAACATTTAGTTTTATCTTTGTGTGATTACCTCGTTCTGTTTTATGACTGTATTGCTTTGTCAGACCACTGAAAATATCTGGAAGTAGCTCAGAGTTAATACAGACCCACGTTGAATTTTCTGGGTTTTAATGTTACTTACAGAGATGTCAGAATTCTGTAATTCAAGTCTGAAATTTTCTGTGTTTCCTTTCAGGTCATGTAAAACTGACTGACTTTGGATTATGTAAAGAATCTATTCATGATGGAACAGTCACACACACATTCTGTGGAACAATTGAATACATGTGAGCTGCATGATGACACACAAAAGTATTACTCTGCTCGGGGGGGAATGGCTGAATTTTGCCTTTTTTAACTGATGGTTCATATGTTGAGTGACTTAGGAAAACTTTACTTGATAAATGTGGGTTTGCTTGAAAACTAGGAGTCAGAATTGGCATTAAGCTGCTTAAAACACTCTCATATTTTCAATTTTTCTGCTCACAGGGCCCCTGAAATCTTGATGAGGAGTGGGCATAACCGTGCTGTGGACTGGTGGAGTTTGGGGGCATTAATGTATGACATGCTGACTGGAGCAGTAGGTGCACAGTTATAATTGCATGTATTTCCCTTTGTAGCTGTTGTAGTTCCCTGTGTCCTCACTCAGATGCATGTATAAATACACATCATTTATATATAATGCAGACTGCAATAAGAAATAAGTTGTGTTCGCTACAGTCTTGAGCTGCTTTTATCCAAAGAGTGATTTTCAAGTCCTATTTGCATTAACTTTTCCTGCTTTGTGAATGACTGAAGTGAGTTGTGCATGCACAAAAGAGAGATCTGAACAAGTCCTGTTTTTTTTCTCCCCTTCCAATGGTGCTTTCCAGCCTCCTTTCACTGGGGAGAACAGAAAGAAGACAATTGACAAGATTCTCAAGTGTAAACTCAACTTGCCTCCCTACCTCACACAAGAAGCCAGAGATCTGCTTAAAAAGGTACAATTTTAATGCCTGTCAGTGCTATATATTTTGGAGGAAATAAAAATACAAGGATACCACTGTGGCTGCTCAGTCCAAGCTTGATTTTATTACTAAAGCAGTCAGTTTTGTGTTGTGTGGTACAGAAAGTGATTTTCCTTGGAAATACAGTAGTTTTCTAACAAATGCAGATTTTCTGGTCATTCTGTATTCATTCTGCATGGGGTTCATTCAGGTGATGATTCATGTCAGGACTAGTCTAGTCATAACAGCACAACTAATTCTGCTTTTTTGGATGTTGTTTCTCATGAAGCTGCTAAAAAGAAATGCTGCCTCACGTCTGGGAGCTGGTCCTGGAGATGCTGGAGAAGTTCAGGTAACTTGCACTTAAGAACTTAAATTACCTCACTGAGGAGAAAACAGCTCTGAGGGTCCATCAGGGCAGGAGAGTCTGTCTGTCTGTCTGTCTGTCTGTCTGTCTTGAAGGGTAATGAGCAGAAAGGCTGCCACATGTGACAGCTGGTCAAAATCTGAAAGCTTTAAAGCTGCACAAAAGCAGCTGCCTACCTGCTGGATAATTGGAGATTTGGAAGATAACTTCTATTCTTTACTTCTGCCTTCCAGTAGATCTTTTCTACCAGTTGTACACTGCTAATTGTGCAGCCCTGGAAGGGTGATGATACTCTCAGCTGGTGAAAACCCTGCCAGCATTAGTGCAGCTATTCCAAGGGAAAAATTAGCTAAAAACTAAGGCAGAGGCTTAGTCCCTGTTGCCTCCAGCTTGACTTTTGTTTTTGTGGTGCCATTAAGAGCATGTTAGAGAGTTCTCCTTATTTCCCAGTGCTGATAACTTGTCATTAATACAATGTTTTGTCATGGTTTTTAGGTATCCAACTTTAAAAGTTGAGGTATTTTGCCTGTGAACTGACTTTTTCTAACCCTTTCAAGGAAAGCATTGCAGGGACAGGAGGTGTTTGCCTTGGAGGTGTGGTACCAATTCTCAGCTCTTCTGATGTAGAATATATTGCACTGAACCCAGCTGTGATTTTGGAAGGAAAGCCACCAGGGAAAGGGGCTGAGAATCCCCTGTTAGTGGTTAAATTTGGGTGGTTTGTGCCCCAGAGGAGGTGCTGACTGTGCTGTTGTAACCCCTGCAGGCTCACCCCTTCTTCAGACACATCAACTGGGACGAGCTGTTGGCACGAAAGGTGGAACCTCCTTTTAAACCCTTATTGGTATGTACTGGGAGTGCTGGGAGATGCTCCCTGTGTGCCTTTAGGAGAGGTCTTGATGTGGGATTACAGACTGGAGTGCCACTGATTCCTGGGACTTAGGTCACAGCTTGGGTGACAGATTCACTGCTGTCAAGTCAGAGGCAGATCTGCCCTGCCCCCTGATCTGCTTCCCTTTGAATTCCTCCTGCTTCTTACCTGGAGGTTAAACAGACTTTCAAGTGCAGCTCACTGTGAATCTCTGCTTCTGAACCCTCTACAGTCAGTCAGTACTTAGTTTCAACTAAAATGAGAAATAGCTGCTAAGCAAAAGTCAATGAAATCACCTAATTAAGCATTTGGTTATTAATATTTACAGTGCATCTTGCTACAGGCAGCACTTAGAGTTTACCTCAAATCAGTGATGTGATGAACAAATCTCTATTATCCCCTCTTATATTTTGAGGTCTGTTTTTCCCTCTGGGTACAAATAGCTACAGCAGCAGTGGGTTTTGCCACCCCCATAGTTCCCAACTACTAAAAATCTCACTTTAAACTGGCTCAGGCATCACTGATGTCCAGCAGCTCCAGCATGGGGACTGCAGACCTTTTTCCCTTCACCCTTTTGAATGAAATTCAGAAAGACTCAAGACTGGTATTTCTGAATGAATTATTGAAGATGATTTGGGGTTTTTCTGTTATTAGCAATGCTATGAAAGTTACTTGTACAAACCAGGTGGTTTTTTCCAAATGTGCTTTCAGGGTTGCATGAGGGGCCACACAAATGAATCCGTTGCCTTTCCACAAAGAATGAGAGAAGGAAACTTGGAGTTACTGTTGTTCTGTGGCCAAATTAAACAATGTTCATAGTCACTTATTCCAGAGTTGTCCTCCATCCCTCACAGTGTAAACACTTCTGTATCTGCAAAAATGGGATTGAATTATCTGGAGAGGTTCCAAATTCTGAGAGTTGCAACTGTTCTGGTTGTGACGAGGGCTAAACTTGGCAAGAAACTGGCGTTGTCATTCTGAAAGTTTCTGTTTGTAATTTGAGATTTTTTTATTTTTTTTAAAGGCATCTTTTTAATTTTGTGTTCCTTTTTGATCCATAATTTTTGCCCCTCCCCCTTGCCTTTATTTCTCAGTGTCAGTGCCCATAGTGACCTCCCACTGGCAGCGACAGGATTCCGACACCACTCCAGGGTTTTACTCCAGCAGAGCTCTGCCAAAAACCTATGGAATGAACTCCACCCAGAGGCTGCACTGGTTGATATCTGTAATATAAACCCTTAACCATTTTGTTTTTGCAAAGCAATCTGAAGAGGATGTGAGCCAGTTTGATTCAAAGTTTACACGTCAGACACCTGTTGATAGCCCAGATGACTCAACTCTCAGTGAAAGTGCCAACCAGGTCTTTCTGGTGAGTGAGGAATGGCTGGAGAGGGAGGTTTTTACTGGGAGCAGGGGGGCACTGCAGCTAAATTAATTCTCTGGAGTCCTACCTGATATTCAAAGCAAACCCTCATCACTGGACACAAACTCTGTGATGGGTTGGAGATGTTGAAGGGCTCTGAGGACACCTCTGGATATCACCTGAGGATATCTCTGACATTTTCTTTATACCCCAGCCAGCAAACGGTGCCTCCTTTGTGGAATGTCAGCACTCTGATTCAGAGCTGCATTCTGAACCCTGGCCACGGGGTTGCTTTCACAGTCATGCAGAGAGAACAATGTCCAGTCCATAGAGCAAAATTAATTAAAGTGAGTGTGCCTGTGGGAGTCTGGGAGCAGAAATAGCCGGGTTGGAGCATCAGGTTGGGAACTCCCCAGAGTCCCACTGTTCGCTTCAAGGAGTAGAAGTTCCTATGTCTGCATTTACTCTTCCTTTTGTAATTTTCTGATCATAATCAGGTTTTCATGTGGTCACTGCAGAGTGATCCCCAGGGTGAATGTTGCCTCCCTTGCTGTCTTGCAGGGTTTTACCTACGTGGCTCCATCAGTACTTGAAAGCGTAAAAGAGAAATTTTCTTTTGAACCAAAAATCCGTTCCCCTCGCAGGTTCATCGGTAGCCCAAGGACACCAGTCAGGTACCTCTCTTTTATTCCTTCTTTTCTTTTTTTGTAACACACCTTTTGACAAGTAGAAATTCAAAATGCAGCCTTGCTTCTCAGCCCAGCACTTCCGTTCGAGTTACAGGACTGACCCTGTTTTACAAACCACGTTATCATGATAAATCTGGGGGGTTTGGCAGCACAGGAAGTACTGATTTGCTGCTTTTTAGTGCTGCTGCAGCCCCACTCCGGTGACTTTGGCTCACCATCCCTCTAGAACTGTTTCAGAACATCCTAAGAGCTTTGTGCTGCTAAAGAACCGTGTTAGTCCAGAAAGAATCATGTCAGTGCAGTCAGTGCTCAGATTTGCAAGTTGGAAGGATTCAGCAATATCTTGGTACTAACAAAGAACCAACAAGAAAAGATGGTTATGATTGAGCAAAAATTAGTGGTTTTTTTTTTCTTCCTGATAAGCCTTTCATTGATTCTGCAATCACCTAGAAATGCACCCTCAGATGACAGGAATGTGCTTTACAAGAGACAGTGGTAGAAGCTCCCCGTGGAAATTTCTCAAACTTCTGGAAGTGGAAGGAAGAATTAGAAATGCTTCTCAGTAGGCATTTGAGCTTCCTGCAGAGTAACAGATCCCCCTCGGTGCCGTGTCTCCAGCTCTGATCTGTGTGTTTCTTGTTTTAAAGCCCCGTCAAGTTTTCCCCCGGGGAATTCTGGGGAAGAGGTGCTTCTGCCGGCGCATCGACCGCTCAGCCACCTGTGGAATACCCGATGGAGACGAGTGGGATAGAACAAATGGATGTGACAGTGTGTGGAGAGGCTTCAGCACCGCTTCCAATCCGGCAGCCAAACTCTGGGCCCTACAAAAAACAAGCTTTCCCCATGATCTCCAAACGACCAGAGCACTTGCGCATGAACCTATGACAGCACCACGGCTGGGAGCCGAGAACAGACGGGAGCCCCCTTGGAGCTGAAACACGAGGGCTTGTTTGGTTTACTTTTAAAAAAAGTGACAGTATCAAAGAGTCAGTCATTGCACAGAGAGACTTGGAAAGCAAAGAAAAAAAAACGGATTTTTTTTTTTTTTTTTTTTTTTTTTTTTTTTTTCCTGTCAATCAATGGTGCATAAAAAAAAAACAACAAACTTTAGCAAATGGTATTGCAGAACTCTAGGCACGTCATCTAACGATTCCAGTGACATCTGCTCACCTTATCAAGGATTTCTCAGCTTGGAACTGACAGTATTAAGGGTCAGGATGTTGCTCCAGAATCACTGGTGTAGTGAATGTGTCGAGGAGGGTTAGCCCTTTCACTAGGCAGAGGATGAAACGCCTGTGCTTGCAGCTGAGGGGTAATTAGCATGCAAGCTTCGTTAAGAGGTTTCCTACAACGGGGCGGAATCAAAGATGAAAGCTAAAATTAATTGGTATCTCACGTTCAAAACATAATGAGTTTTTTTTATATATATATATACAAAAAAAAATATATATATTTTTCAAATAGATTTTTTTGATTCAGCTCATTATGGAAAGGATCCCAAAATTGCAAACGCAGAATAATTGGTGAAGAAAGTTGTTTGGTTGGTTTTTTTTTTCAAGGCTCTGGTTCTGATTCTTCTCCTCATCAAACAACAAATCAATAAGTGAACCACTGGCCAGCTTGGCAGTGTGGGGTGGGAGAGGACTGTTTTTCACTTGCTTCCCCAGCTGAAATCCCTGTTCCTGCAGGGACCAACGGATCTAATCAGAGGCAATGCTGCTATGTTGTTCTAGGCTTAACTGGAAGCCACGGGCTCACACACGTCCTGCTTATTTCATCCCTGTCCTCAGCAGACATTTCACTGGGAAACATCACTTTTTTTTGTCCCCTTGTGCTGGTGCTGGGCTGGAGGCAGCTCAGCACAGCCAGGTTCTTACCCACAGCGAGATCAGGAGACTGTGCATCCCATCACAAGGTCAGTAGAGATCTATAGCAAGTCCCCCAGGGAACAGAGACAAACCCTGCATAGCAGAAGGAAATAACTATTTTTGTAACAGGTGGGTAAGAATTTGAGGATTTTTTTTTTTTAAAGTATAATAATTATTAATAAAATTTTGCTTACAGGAGTTCCCTGCCATTATACATTTCTAAATTTCTCCACGTTTTTTTTTTTCTATGCTGGGGCAATAAATTTGCTGATTGTACGAGAAAAAGTGTTCAATGGCCTTTCAGTGAATGTCTTCCACAGTGGGTCAGAACTTGAGCAACCTTCATTTAGGAAACATGTTCTAAGGACACTATTTATGTTTTTAAAACTGTCACACGATCTGTACAACTGACTTACAGGTACAAAGAATAAAATAAAGGTAAACTTTACCTTCCTTAAATATATACTTCCTGCCTTAAAGAAAGCATTTCCATGAGCATAGCTGGTGAAAGGGTTAAAATCTGCAGAGCTTTACACTAGTTTAGGGTGTGTCTGCTGTGTGTGTGTGTGTGGAGATGATCCAGCTGCATCCAAGTCCTGTCACTTTTTGCCTGCCACACGTTGCATTATCCTTAGTCAAACTGTGCAAAGTCTACTTCTGGTGTTTCACAACAGTAGGGATTTTTTTATCCTAGATTTCCGCTTACTCTGTGGATACTGAACCTTTTTTGAGCCATAGGATCCAAGCCATAAAACTCTCTCAAGCATTGAATCCGCTCAGTGCTCTTTGCTCAGATTTGCAAGTTGGAAGGATTCAGTGATACCTTGATACCAACAACAAAAAACTAGCAAAAATTAAGATTTTTTTTTTTCTTCCTTTTGTTAAAAAAGTTTTAATTTCCTGAGGCAGATGAAGTTCCCTTGCAGTGCCACAGGTTGTGCTGGAGGATTGCCATTGTTCAGGGGGGGCGTTGTGAAACCAAAACCCAAGTGCTCAGGAGCTGTTTGCACTCTGCATATCTGCAAACCTGGCTGCATTCTGGATTGCACTGTTTGCATGGGGAATATCTGCCAAGGCCTCAACCTCCAGCCCCTGGAGCCTCTGTGCTGCTCGTTCCTGAGGTGCCCTGACGTGGCCACTGAGGAGAAAGGGACTTGCTTAAAAAATAGTCATTTTTGGAGGCAGATCTCTCTTGGTCCCAGGTACAGCCACCGGTTGCTTTTTGCTTGGCTGGGTAGATTGTCCAGTGGAATTGGTTTATTATGGCTGGCAAGAATGGCAAGAGTTGTTTGTCTGAGTTCACTGAGGAATTACAACCCCCAACTCATCGGTTTTCCAAGGAAATTCCATGTACTGTCAATGTTTCATCCCATAGGTTCTAAGTTGAATTCCCTACCATGACTGTGAAACTTTGGGAGTGTGACTCAGACAGCAAGCACACACTATGCAATATGGTTTATCCTGTATTTATTTGTAAAAAGATCAGACATAGATCCTCTATATATATATATAATAGTGTCAAAATTACTAGTTGTGAACTGAGGGGAGTGGAGTTGTAGCTCCTGTCTGGCTATTTCAGATAAGTGCAGAATGCATTGAATATTGGAGAGCTTAACAAGTGCTTTCTTTTGTTCATTTAAAAATGTCTTAAATTTTTCATTAGAGTATAGAATCTTATTTTTTTTATTTTGTACAAGCTGCGCTTTTTTAATTATAATCACTGAAAAATTCACTATAATTTGATTTTATAGGATTTTTGTAGCATTACAAAAATATAGTAAAACCGAGGTTAATACCTGTTGTGGCTAACCATATAAAAAGTATTAAATCTTAAACTTGAACAAAAGTCATATTTTTTTTTACTAGATGTTAAATAGGGAAATATTTTGTTCTGCAGGTCATTCTCAGAAAAGGTTTCTAGGTCAGCTGTGTTACCAGCAGTTTTTCTTTTTCCCATTTGATGCAGAAACTCTTCTGGTATAAGATATTCCGAATTCCATCAGTTTTCTTGTGGGAGTGATGCATTTGACGCCATTCGTGTACTAAATTGTAATTTTGGGAATGCTGGAATAATTCCTACCAAGACTGTCTTAATTGTGCCATCTGACATTTGAATGTCATCCTGGTATTAGCTCATAATAAAAGATAAAAATCAACGAGTCAATTGTTCTTTTGAATATCCCTTTTTCCTGGTCCTGCTCTCTAAAGGCTGAACTGCTGGAGAACATTTCATAGCTGAGTCCACTCTGCAGTGGAGGTTTATTTGGGGCCTGTTCTCTTTTCAGTATTAACTCCCAGCCTGTTCTCACTGTTAATCAAAAAGTGCATCAAACACTGAGGGAGGACTCTTGTTTTTAGGACGTGGTTGGGGTTTGGTTGGTGTGGTTAAATTGTCTCTACAGGATAGTTGCTGTTTCATTTTCCCAGTTCAGAGGGAAATCCTTTATCCTAAGGGGGAAAGGAGGAGGAGGAGTCGTTAAGAACAAGGCAAATTGAATATTTTTCCTGCAGGTCCTTGGTGATCCACTGTGTGCAGTTCCCAAATATGAACTTCTACAGGTTGTTCTCTTCCAGATTAACTCCATTTGCAGCTGCTGCAGGAACACACCTGAGCTGCCTCAGTACAGACAAGGTAATCCCTGTTCTGGGTTCACCTTTCCCAGTTTACTGGGACTAAATGTCCTCAAGTGCTCAGTAAGATGGATGTGAAGAGCAACTAAAAGCAAATTTAAACGTGTCAATCCCAGTGACCTGTTTGTTTCTTTTTTTAGGAAGTGGGAAGGCCCTGAGTATAACTATGGATGGAAATCATTGTCTTTATGACAGCTTGGATGGGAAAGGGAGGGAGGAGGAATTCCCAGAGAACAGAAAGGACCTGGGAGATGCTCTTTGGCTCAGCCTGTTACCGAGGGCTGGTCCCCTCACCCGGGCTTTGGGGCTCAGAAAAAGCAGCTGTTGGTTGTCACCTGTTCTCTGTTCTGCCCCTGCAGAGTCAGATGTGCTGCCTGTTGGTGATCCTGGCCTGGATTAGGAAGAGCTGCATCCTAATTCCATGTGGATCAGAGAGGGTGGCATTCCTGGAGGTGAGTTCCTGCCTGTATCTGAGAATGAGCCGTTTCATTTATGAAGTGTAAATCTAAACCGGTCCATCAAAATCTCTTCGTAGTTCTTTGGTTTTAATAAAACCTGTTTGGTACTACTGGGTTTGGATAATTTTCACTGGATCTTCAAGGGAAAAAAAAAACAAACCACCAACAGAAAGAGAGAATAAAACCCAGATTGTTCCCTGGTCCTGCTTTTGCCCAGTCTCCACCCTTACTCCAGTTGTTACTCCAGTGTGGTGCACAGAGCCCAGAGGATCAGGGTTGACTTAAAGCACTGACACTGTTTGTTGTGCTCCATAAAATAATCCTGGTGAGCTTTGTGGGCCAGCTGACACTGCTGAGTTCTTGTGGTGGTTTTTTTTTTTATTAACCACAAGTCAATACTTTAATTGGTTTCATATTTTTAAGTAGTAGTTCTGGCCTTGCCTGCAGTCCTTGATGCCTTAATTCCTCCGTGGATATTGAACCACCTGGTGAGGTGAGCAGTTTGTACTTTGTCCTACAGCAAAATATTTAGTTCAGGGTGATTTCTTTCAACTTTCTCTGCAAAGCTGGAATGTTTCTGTGTGAAGCAGTGCACTGAAGGGCTGTCAGGACCTTCTCAGCTTGCCAGTCTGAGCTGTTGGTCCTGACAGACGGATGGAATTGAAGTCTGGGGCTGCCCATCACTGCTGGGCAATTAATGTAATCAATACTGAGGAATTAAGAAGTGCATTTCTCTGCTCTAACAACGTGTCCAAGTCTGGGGCCTTTCAGTTTCTGTTTCCTCTGAGAGGATTTTTGAATGGAAAGAGTGATTATTAAGCTGTTGGAATTAGCATTTCAGGGAAAGCTGCTCCAGGCTAAGTAGCAATGTTTATTTTGCCTGGTATTTTGGAAGGGGTTGGTTGTCACATCTGCCCTTACAAACTCTGTGTTGGGTTTAGCCACACATTTTACTCACACCAGCAAAGGTTTTTTTTACTCAGAATCCTGAATTCTGCCCCCATTCCCCTGGGAGCTGTGCCTTTAAGGGCTCTCTCCCATCAGCCCTGGCAGCCCCATCAAGGTCCCTGTGGCAGCTGCAGCTCTGGAGGATTCACTCCCTGCCCTGCCCTTGGGGCTCTCCATCATTCACCAAGTAAGTGTTTGACTTTTTAATTCTGTTTGTACTCAATTTAGAAGTTTCTAAAGGTATTCAGTTAGGGCAAACTCAAGTTAATGGTAACTAAATGTAACTTTCCTGTAGCAGAATAATTTGAGTGGCTTTTTTCAGCCTTATCTGAGCAGCAAAGTGAGAAAAGACAAGCAGGAAAACAAAGTGAGATTATATATAATTAGTGCTATAATTAACATAAAACCTAATCATGAATAAATTGTAGCATTTGAAGAGGTTTTGTTTTTCAGAGACATTAATTTAACAACAAAACTAGACCTGGCACTGAGCTTTAAATACTCAAACAGTAACAAATCTTTCTTTATTCAGCATGCACCAAACAAGTAGATTTAAATGCATTTATTCTCTCTGATTTTTATGCATACTACAAATTTGCAAATGCAGTATAAAATAGATTCTGCCCTGTAAGAAAATCTGGTTCCTGTCACGACAAAAAATATAATATTAAAGATCTGTTTTAAAAATACCAGCTTTATAAAATGCTCAGTAAAAAACTACCATCAGTGGTTGGTTTAAAGGCAAAAGGTTAAGCCAAAGATCCATTAGGAGCCTACAAGAACCTAAAGGGAAACATCTTATTCTTGTGCTTATCCAGGTACAGTGAGAAACAGTTGCTGGTACAGGTGCATGAGTAAAAAAGCAATTTAATTGAGTGGGCAAGCACTGAAGGATCTTTAATGCCAAGTGTGACAAGGAGCTCTAATTCTCACTGTAGTCCAGAGGATAAAGTTTGCTCAAATAAAAGTGGTAGGTTGACCTTTGGGGTTGAGTCATGTTAGGAAGATAAATAGAGTTTAGCACAGTCTGGAACTCAGAATGTTGAATTAAGTCTTAATGCAGCATATTTCAGGATTTCTCTGGTTCCTATGGCAGTCACAAGAGAAGCAATGCTGGCTTTGTCTGCATTCATTCTGAAAACTTAAGTTTTCTCTGCTTAAAAAAGGCCAAGTTACCATTTTCTGCTCTGCTTTAAAAACTGGAACGTTTGGTAGGAGCCTGGGCTGTAGAACTGGGAAAGCTCCTACAAGTGAAGCAGCAGGAAACTGAGAAAACTCAGAGGGAACAAACCAAGTTGTTTGAGAAGCTTTAGAAAATCTGGAGGTGCATTGATGTGGCTCCATCCTTCCACTTGTTAACATGGTCTGAAATGACAGTTCTGCAGAGGGGACACGTTTTTTCTCTATTAAACCACAAACTGATGCATTCTTCACAAAATGTGTGCTGCAAGAAAAGCAGGAGAACTTAGAGCTCCTAAGCTCTTCCACGTGTAACATTCTATATTAATTGCACAGCCTGATTTCTACAAATAATCATAAAACATGTAGTCACCCATCTAATTTTATGTTGTTTAAAATAGTCTTTAATTTGCAAGAAAAATAATAACTGGGATTATGTGTGTTACCTGACAGATGAGCAGAATAGGCTTCTGAAATTCAGCTTGGCAGATGGGACAGATATCATCTGATTCTGAGCACTGTCTCTTGCTGGCTGGCACCCCATAGTGCTGCAAAACAAAGGGACTTCAGCAAATGTTGGTTTCTAGGGGGGTGAAAAAGCCAAGACCAAACACCAGGACAGAAAGGAATTTGGGCTGCTGTGTCAGGAAGAGTATTAAATCCCTAACCCAAGGAAATATTGCTAATTTTTGAAGTCGAGCAGGCCAAAAAGGGTGTGTTACTTCACATCCTTTTATCTGAAGGGTTGTGCAGAAGAGATTTTGGGGGGGGTTGCTGTTGTTCAGATGACAATAAAATCACGTAGTTAAGGAATTCAGACTGAAATGGGACAAGGGAATACAAGGTTTCATGTAAAAATCCAGTTGTTTATTGCTACAACAGTACAAAGCAATATGGGAATGAGGTATTTAAAAAGTATTTGCATGTAAATTGGGTTTATGGGTTTGAATTTTTGAACTCAATACTCACTGGGCGTGTAAAAAATATCCGTAAAACCTGCCTGAAGTTTCTCAGTTGTCCAAAAAAGCTCAAAAGCTGTAATGGGAAAGAAAACTCGAGTTATGTTTAGTATTTTTTCCCCTCTGTGAACTAAAAAGCTTCCAAGCTTTTGGCAGTGGCCTCACTGCTGGTTGGATGTTGGCAGGAACATAAGCAAAGCCATAGTTCAGACTGACCCTCTTTGAGTTGTTTTATGTGTAACCAGACTAAGGTTTATTCTTTCAGGTGTTTGTTCTTTAGAAGAAAAACAGGGTTGAGGTTCTGAACTGTAACATTTGAGTGCAAATATCTCACCATTATTATCGTATTTGCCAGAGTGTTGGGGTTGTGGTGAAGGTAGCAGGGGCATTAGGAAGTTTTGGTCATGGTCAAAGCCAAACTTGTCCTGACTCTGGTTCCATTTGGGGCAGAGGAGCTCTCTGGTGAACAGAGAGCCAGCATGAGCACGTGAAGCTTGTTTGGCATCACACAGGATCCTCTAGCAGAGAAAAAAATCCAGTTTCCTGGATTTTCCAGTTCTTTTAGTCACTGTACTTCTGCAGGCTCTTTTCCTCAGTATCCTACAACAGTCTGATCGGTGTCTGACGTGAGGGGATCTTTAATAAGTGTTCTTTGCTCTGCAGTCCCAGAACAGGGGCAGGAAATGATGATTTAGGGTCCTGAGCCAGGTGTTTTATCAGTTTTTTGGGAGGCTGCCTCAGTTGAAGTGAAGCACTGACTTGCCATCAGTGCAGAGGGGAACTTCCAGCAATGTGCTGGTTGGTGTGTCCAAATGGTTTAGAGGAATATAAAGCTGTCCCACCTTTAGGATGAGGTAGAGAAGGCCCAGCAGGATGCCAAGGGTCCATCCCAGGCCACTGTCCAGCTCCCCATGGGCAATGAGAAAACGGAACCACACTGGGATGGGGACAAACATCCGGTAATACTGGCAGAGTTCTTCCAACAGCAG